CCGCCGCGGCGAGCGCGGGCGGGGGGGGAGCCCCGGCCCGGCCGCCGCCGCCCCCAGTTGCCCCGACCCCCTCTGGGCGTCCCCGCTGCCGGCTCGCTGCCTGGGAGCTCAGCCAGTGCCTGCCGGCGGTGGGGTCAGGGCCCCCGCGGGGGGGCTGGGGTGGGGCCGGGGGCGGGGATGGGGCGCGGCGTCCCCCCCCGCGGGGGTGTGTGGTGCTGCGGTCCGTGGCTCAGGCAGCTGGAGCAGGGGGAGCTCAGGAGAGAAGATGGAGGACGCCAGGGTCTGGCGCTGGCCCACTGGGCACAGCTGGGCCGCCTCCCGTGACTCAGACACTGTGCCCAGCAGCATCTCATCCCTCTCAGATCCTCCGCGGAGGGCACAGGCTACGGCGAACACCTGGTATTCGAGTCCCTCCTGCACAGCACGGCCCCCACCTCCGAACTGGGGAAGCCCCTTCTACTTCCAGTCTTTCCCTTTTGGCATTTCATCCTGGGCTGGCTAAGTCCTACACACTCTATGATATACATCTCCCTCTGAGTAGCCTTCCAACTCAAGCAGGGAATCCCACTGGGATGCTGCCTCAGATCCTCCCAGTGTCGAGGGAAACACTTCCCACGCGTAGAGATGTCATTACTGGGTTATACTTGGGTAAAGGGCTGAGCTTCCCCATCCTCCCCTTCACTCCAGATAGGATGTGAAATTCTACCCTAACACCCCTCCTCTCCCGCCAAAAATAATAAAAATAACAAGCAAGAATGTATAGACTAATTATTTTAGTCCTTTAGTACAGTTGGTTTCCTTTTTCACACCCCCCACCCCCATCCCAGAACAAAAATCGAACTTCTGGTTGGACAGCGTCAGGAGATGTCACTGAGGTGACCTCAGCCTCTGTTTGCAGTTCCAAGTCTTCCATGTAGGCGTCACTGCTGCTGGAACTTTGTAGATGAGGAGCCTGTATGATGATGTCCTGAACAGTTTTCTATCCTTTCCAGAGGTAGCTACTGGGAATATCAGAGACAAGCTATTATTAAATGTCTCCAGTCCAAGAAGTCTTCTGCTGTAGGGAAACGAGAGGGCAGGCTATGTATTACTGATATTTTCATAAACTCTAGTTTTACAAAAATTCCTCAGATGGACACATTATTGCAAGATTTCAAAATCTTTCAAAACCAACTGACTCACATTTCATCCCATTTATTCCCCTACTGACACTTCTAATCAAAGTTACTATCTCTACCTTTCCCCAAACATACACAATAAAAAGAATATGACTGCAGAATTCTATGGTAATACAAACTAAAGAGATACAGTAATTTGACAGTCTGTTTCCTTTCCATCTACTACAAAAGTATACCCCCTCCCACTCTTTCCTCATTCTCAGTCACCAGAATGAAGGGGCTGGATAAGGTTGGTGTGGTTCCTTTTAGAGCTGTTTCCCCATTGGATACTGCCTGGAGGCCTTGGGGATGAATGAGAAGTTCTGCAGCTTGGATTGCTAGAAGCAGGTAACATCCCAGCAACCAGTCAGCCTAAGACAGGAGGGGACAGAAAATAATGAAGAGTTTCTGATAACATTCGCTAGCCAAACTTCTACAGTGTCCCCCCCATGTCTCCTACAGTAACCATAAATTTCTCTCTTGGAAAGATAAATGGTTCAGGATGCCTAAGTTTATATATATATATATATGTGCCAAGATAACTTGCTCTGTCCTCAGACGCTGTATGTCCTTTTATTTTTATTCAGTGCATAGCAAATCTGTGCTTCTTTCCTGCCTTAACACATTCACTTAAAGGTCTCTGTAATGCAGCTCCCCAGTTTTCTTCCTCTGCATAGCCTCTGCTCCTTTAGCTGCTGCCTTTCATACTGTGGTGAAAAGGAAGGTTCAGGATTATGAAAACCAGTACTTAATGAAGACCATTATTCTAATGACAATATTGCTGGACTGTGCTGAACTTCTTATTCTGGGATCTAGAAACTCTTTGCCCAGCAATCTTTCAACACAGCGCCTCTGGGGAGGGGTTTCCCCAGTAACAGGAAGTAGAGGTCAAGTGAAAACAGTCCAGTTCTCATTACTAAAAAGCTGAGATTCTGAACTATCACTTTTCTTGAGGAAAATAGCTCATTTTATCTCAATCCATAAGATAAAACCAGAAATCTTGATTGTTTCCCAAAATGCCCCTTAAAAAGAATTAGCAACTTTTTAAATGCAGATGAAATATTAAACACTGGGGTGTTTTCCAGAAGGAAAATAGCAAAAGTTTTAAAAAGTACTCAAAAACAACCAGTTCCAACTGTTAGAGGAATATAATGAAACCACTACAGATACTCCATCCCTAGAAGGGGCATTTCTACCTTTAGGACAACCCCTCCTGAAGCCAGCTTCCACAGACCAAATCCTGGGATCCAATCAAAAGATTACAGATGGCTAAAGCCAGTTAATTCATCTTATTACATCTTTCAGTGACTGAATCAATGGTATTACCTTTAAACATGATGAATATATGAAATGCTTGGTGTCTATCCACCCCAAGAAAGTGAGATCCCCAACTGCCCTGTTTGGATTCCTCTTCCACACCCCTTCCCTACCTCAAGTTGTAAGACCTGTCACCTAACTTTTCAGGGTCTCTGTTTCTTCATCTGGAAAATGAGAAGAAAATATCTTACAGGGCCACCTGTGGATTAAATGAGAAATGTGTATAAAATGTTTAGAACACTTCCTGAAATATAACAGATGGTAAGTAAATATTTTTATTGATGCTATTAAGTGGTTCTAGATTAACTTTGAGGCTGAGAACTCTGCCTACCGGCTCTAACCCAGTTAATTATTCCTTTCACTTCCTTTTAAAATGACAGGGTTTTTCCTTTCCCTCTCCTTCAAAGAGCCCTAAAGTAAATGGTCAAAGGGCTAATGACACATAACAAAGGAAGATGTCCATTAAGATTTGTTTTTCTGGGGCAGTGCCTGTAGCTCAGTGAGTAGGGCGCAGGCCCAGTGTACTGAGGGTGGTGGGTTCAAACCCAGCCCTGGGCCAGACTGTAACAAAAAAGTGGCCGGGTGTTGTGATGAGCACCTGTAGTCTCATTGGGAGGCTGAGGCAGGAGAATCGCCTGGGCCCAGGAGCTGAAGGTTGCTGTGAGCTGTGATGCCACGACATTCTACCAAGGGCAAGAAACTGAGACTCTGTCTCTAAAAAAAAAAGATTTGTTTTTCTGAAGACAACTTTTAGCAGTTATTAGAAAACAACAAAGGCTAGGCCTGGTGGCTCACACCTGTAACCCTAGCACTCTGGGAGGCCAAGGCAGGTGGATTACCTGAGTTCACAGGTTGGAGACCAGCCTGAGCCAGAGTGAGACCTGTCTCTAAAAATAGCTGGGCATTATGGCAGGCACTTGTAGTCCCAGTTACTAGAGAGGCTGAGACAAGAGAATTGCTTAAGCCCAAGAGTTTGAGGTTGCTGTGAGCTGTGACATCACAGCACTCTACCAAGGGCAAGAAGGTGAGACTCTGTCTTTAAAAAAGGAACAACCATCTTTACAAATAAATAAAGTTCTGTGAATAAATACATCAAAGTTTTCGATTACAGATTTAAAATCCTGGAAACAGAAAGCATCTCTGGTCTTGTCAATTTCAGGTAACTGACCTGTACCCAAGTAAGAGTGCTCAACAGACAAAAACGAAAATCAAATCTAAAACTTCATTAGAGAGTATCAGAAACTTCAAATTGGAAAGCTAATTAACTCTTCGTACAAGAAAGCAAGAACTGATAATTGACAAATCCAATAATAAAAACCAAGACTGCAGTATTTAAAAATACCAAAAATTGGCTGTGTGCCCATAGCTCAGTAGTTAGGGCACCAGCCACATACACAGGGTCTGGTGGGTTCGAACCCTACCTGGGTCTGCTTTTAAAAAAAGCCAGGTGCTGTGGC